GTTCTGGAATTTTCGAATTCTGACATAGTTTTTTTCCACACTTTATTCAAATTTGTTGGAAATATTAGTTTTAACTGTTATCATTGCTAAAATAATACTAAAAAGGTGGGTAAAAATGTGTCAATCAAAATTTAATTGTAAATTGAACGTTAGAGAAAGTATGGCACAAAAATAAAACACTTTAAGTTTACCAGTGGTCATGTATTTTCAAAACGGTATAAAAAACATAAAAATATACAATGTGAACTTTTCTGTACGGTCACAAAATAGTGGAAATTTTCCGAATAGGTTCTGGAATTTTTTATTCCTGACAGAGTGAGTCTGTTGTAGACAAAGATAAGTCATAAATTTTGACTCAATATCTACAAATCGTCATGAAATAGCCCTTATAGTAATAACGTTAACAAGTAAAACAACCTAGAGATAAAAAATGGTATATTTACCTCATACGCCTTGCCAGTGCCAAAGTAGATTGGGATGAATGCCAGCCATATGATGCATGTGGTGTACATAGTGAAACCGATGAATTTAGATTCGTTAAAGTTCTCAGGGATTTTGCGGGTCTTGACAGCGTAAACAGTGCAGGTTGTGATTAGGACCATATTGTAGAGCTGGCTGAATAAAAAGGACATATCCTGGATTTTGCATTTTAGTATAATCTGGAAAAATGAAATGTTTTCGAATTAAAAATTAGTTATACCAGTTTATTGTGATTGTTAAAGGGCTCCGTACACGTTTAATCGCGTTCTCAGATTTATCTGCGCATTTTTAATACTCTTTACAAAAACAGAGTAATATTAACATTTGAAATAATGTTTGTAACGTATTTCGAGATACGTCCGCCGGGATATTTTACAGTTACAGTTAATAACGGCACAGTTGAAAAGGTTTCCGCAATAATAATAATTTCGTCATTTTGTCTGACTCTGCTCTTCCGCTTCCATTACTTGGAGCTTGGTTATTAGTAGACCAGCCGTGGGTTTGATTGTAAATTTTGAAACACTCCTACGACCTTTTTCAGGTAGGATAGGTATTTAGTGGACCTTCCGGGGTAATAGTTTTTATTGTCCTTTTAACCCCATAACCGTTAGTACAGGGTGTCTCAAACTCGATAGTATGTGCCTGCTGTGAAAATATTTAGATAACACTTTCCCAGAAAACTAGATTGGGCTTAATGGACCTATTCAGTGGTCCGGAAAGTCATCAGATCTAACACCCCTCGATTTTTTTTATGGAGGGTTTTAAAAAATAAGGTTTACAGAACACCTTCGCGAGATATTAATCATTTGAAAGAAAAAATCACAAACGCTTGTAATGAGTTAAACGGCGAAATGTTAATTAACGCAGCCCCCAAAGAAGTCAGGCGAAGATTGGAGATGTGTCTTGAAATGAAAGGAGGTCATATAGAGAATATATTGTAATATGTATGTATGAAAGCGTTTACCTCATTTTTTAAGTTTAGTTATTGTTATCATCACCTTTTGTTTTATCTGTATTAAAGAATTATCGAGTTTAATCCTTTTATTTATTACTACTTGATCCATCCACCGCTAATGTGATTGCTTATAACTTTTAAACGGGAAGTAATACAGAAAAATTTCTCTAATAAAAGTTTATTAGAAAAAAAGAGAGCTTTTTAACAGGAAAAAATTTTGGGTATGTTTCCGGAAAAAATATAATTGAGACGTCATTAGTCGTTTCTGTCAAATCCCAAAAATAATACTTTCGATTGAAAATGGAGCTTACCTCATTCCGTTTAACACCACGTGTCTCAAATTTTATTTAAATTTTTTGTACCCTCACAGTAGGTACATATTATTGAGTTTCAGAGACCCTGTAAATACCTTCGCTGTTACGGTTTTTTTAAAGTTATAGTAGAATGTATAGTATTAAAATAACCCTGTTCTAATTTAATTTTTAATAATAATAATATTGATTGTAAATTGAATAAAATACGAATTACTTTTCGAAAGGTGGGAAAAAGTTCTATTCTGTTATTTCTGTTGAGATCTAAATAAAAACTGGTTCATTAAAATTGTTCATTTAGCAGGAATAAATGAAACAGATTATAGCTGGGGAGTGTTTCTCTCGATTTTCCGAGAATTCAGCTGCTGAAAAGACGCAGGATGTATTTTCTAAAAAGTTCAAAGCAAATAAGATTTTATTTAAAAAGGCCTTGTTTTAACATTAATTTATTTCTTTGCGTAACAAAGTGGAATGCGGATTTATTAAATAACTTCATTGGCAAGAAAACCACTTAGAAAATGGCGACAGAAGCGTTTTTTAGTATACTTAATTTTATTCGTAAAAATTAAATTCCTTAAAATTGCCACGGTTTTAGTTAAATTAATTCAAGTCCTTTATGAAGCACTTTTAATTCCACGAAGTAAAGATGTAAAATACGTACAGAACTCTGGGTCCCATTTAAACAGAGTATGCAACACTTAAATCTTATAACATTTTGAATCATCTGATAAAGGCTTGAACCTATATCAGTCTGGATTTTAATACCTCTTCAAATCAGTTGGAGTTGCGATCACCACAAACGGGCTTGCAACAAAACCCAAATTTCGTTCGAATTACAGGAACAAATCCTATACCAATGTTTCGTTGTTGCTCTTATCCTTGGCGGTGCAACTTGTCTAAGGAAGTAAAATATGGCGCGACAGACTATTAATTTGTATAGCAGTTGACGATATGTTAAGTTAAAAGCTGCGTTCCACAATGTCAACAACAGAGGTGAAATAATTTAAGTTCTGGTGGTGAAGCGAATATAACCCGACTTCAAGTAATGCCTGAATCTGATAAATCCGACTTCAAGGAAAGAAAACTTCAAGATCTAAATAACAAATCGCACATTTGAACTGGAACTATCCAAGATTAAGAACAACTTTCAGAGTAACAAAATTCAATCCCGAACTTTCTAGTTGTAAGTGTACCACCAAATCTGGAACAAGCCATGTTTTATACACAAACCTGGGTGGGTTTTGGTACACAAAATAATTTATTCAGCAATAAAATGAATGTTTTAAGAAAATAAATTCGCTTTAGTTTCTCCGATATAGATGCTCCGTTGAAACCTATAAGTGCTTGTATAACCGCGCATAGGCGCCGACAGAGGGGGAAAAAGGGGGCGTCTGTCTTTATTCAACTATTAATCAATGTTAACTTTTTTGTGGACTGACACATTTCAGTGCTTTGATTTTGATAGAAAAATTACCTCTGTTTCAGTTTATAGTGATAACAATTTTCCATGCATGGTATTTTTTTAAATCTATATCATAATCTTAGAAGTTGTAGTTAAAACAGTTGAATAAATTTAAATTAATTTTAAACATATTTCATTAGTTTTGAATACTCGTAATTCTCCATTTAAAGTATCTACATATCACTGGTTTCGTAAACAACAAATGCATATCTTCAGGTCAGAATTTTTATTGAAAAATATTTCTAATGTCTAATAAAAATTATGTTATGATGACGTAAAGAAATTTATATTATTCAGACAAAAATAACTAACATAAGATATCGACACCATAAAATTTATTTATTATTATTTTAAATGCCTGATAAGCTTATTTTAAATTTATAAACCATCAACCTTCCGAGATATTTGAACAAATTTGATATATTTTTCTCAGCATCCTTTACAGTTTTAGATCCTTTAAAATTTTTTGGTGTAAACGGAATAACTTCCTGAAGTTATATCATAAATTTAGAAAAAATCAGCGGACTCGCTAGAGGGGGTTGTGGATAAAAAAAAGAATCACCCTTTAGATTATTACGAACTGCAATGCATACACTCAGTCGGTTCTAGGAAAAAGATTTAATATATTGAATTTGAATGGATTATAATAAAAAACAAAATAAATATAAAATATAGGTAATAATTAATACAGAAAACAACATGTACCATCCTGTTTCTCAAAAAGGAAGCGTTTATAGAATTTTCTCGGTGGATTATTGCAACACTTTATTTTAGACCAGGGCGGGTCTGTCGAAATATCCCACTTCTTGGATGTGTGAAGGGGCAAGCTAATTTTTGCTGGAATACCTTCAGTACAACTGTCATAATAAAAGTGTAGATCCCTAGATCTGGGCGAGGTCCGGAACATTTTGAAAATTGCAAAAATGTTTAAATGGAATTTGGTTTGTTGTTTTATTATACTATAATTTTTTTTTACCATAATTAGAATGCCCTCGGAGCAATTAAAATATTAAAGAAAATATCCAAAAAACTTGATTATTTTGCCTTTTTTTCATCAATTATTGGCTATTTTGCAACATCGGTAATAAATTTAAACATTTTTAACTTACAGTATGTTGTGCAAAATTCAATTCTAAAACTTTTTTCCGCTTCAATATTCTTCCAAAATGCATAGGTTCCAAGATATAAGTAAAAAACTCAGATAAAATAGGTATTTTTTTAATTTTTTTAAACATTTTTGCAATTTTGAAAATGTTCCGGGTCTCGCCCAGATCTAGGGATCTACACTTTTATATATGTGTTGTACTGAAGGTAATCCAGAAAAAAATTGCTTGCCCCCTCTCTCACATCCACCTCAAAACAGATCCGCCCTTGTCTATTTAGTTAGTTTAATTTTCCAAGTATTGTAATATTATTTTTTTTCAATTTTTTTACGCATGGAGTTGATTATTCACTAATTAACTAAGCTATATTTTTTTATTGAGTGATTGAAGAGATTTGCTTTTTAAACATTGCACGATTTTATTTATTATGAATTCTCATGTTAGGCGCGCGCCTATGTATTTATTGCGGCATATTTACTTCACTTTGCGCGATATTATTTAAATATGTATATAGGTGTCGTCTGGTTGGAGATAGGGTTGAAAGCAGACGAAATCGATATTTAATAATACATTTCATTTAGAGTAACAACCTCGATATTTTATACTAACCTGATTCCTGGTGGGGTAGTGAAATCTTGTGCCCGGTGGCTCAACAGCCATCCATACCAAGGTAAGAATAATTTGCACGGCAATAAGCGTACAAGTTATTATCACCTGGGACTTAGGGCTGATGTAATTGGGCCTCTGTGCTGACTTAGATGCGGAATCGAATATTCTGGAGATCCTGTTGGTCTTGGTGAGAAGTGCCCCGTATATTATCGAGAATCCGACGCCTACTCCGAACCGCTGGGTGATACAGATTTCGGTAGTTGGCTTTGCTAGGAGCGCGAAAGTATTTAAATAGCATAGGAAAATCCCGAAGAGTAACATATAACTCAGTTCTCGTCCTGAGGCTCGAACTAGCGGCGTGTCGTTATGCTTTATGAATAGGATTATGACGGCGAAGGTTACTAGGATGCCCAGGCAAGAGAATGCTGCCGGGACCAAAGCGTATGGCGTGTTCCAGCGCATGTACTGCAGCTCCAGTGCATAGCAGGACAGTTTGTCTTTATAAGGCCAAAATCCTGGCCCGCAATCTTTACATGTGGATTCATCGTAGACGTACTCGTGTTCCTCGCATTTGTCGCATATCCAACAGCATGTATCCCCCTGAAACAAAAACATTTATTTAGTATAGTCTTTCCGAAGTCAGTTGAACACGTATAAAAATTTAATGAGTTTCATAGGCGTCCCTAAAAAAGTTTTCTGCTAAAGGTAAAAAATTATAATAGTTTGTATAAAGGGTGTTGCAGAAAGACCTCCCGTAAATTTAGGGGGCGATAGTACGACAAAAAATAAGAATTTTTTGTCTTAAAAACTATATGTCTATCTCCTCTTGTTTTCGAGATACAGAGCGACAAAATAAAATTTTTACGAAAATTTCCAAACGGTGCGAAATATTTTTATGAAATTCGGTATTCCGGGGTTTTTAAGGACGCCAAATACGCTGGTCTAATTATTTTTTGGATATTTCATAAAGGGCGCTAGTTACACTACATTCCTATTACATTTTAGGTTTTAATTTTTTAAGGTTAAGTTTTTTTACCATTCGGGCTCCAATTTCTAATGTACAATTTTATTTTCTAATAATATTGTACTCTTGTTAGAACATCCTAATGTGGACGGTTTTCGAGAAAAAAGGCTTTTAATTGAGCTCTTACGGTGAAGAAAATATGTTTCTTTTCTCAAAGTAGGCTTATGTCAAAACTTATTGATGGATGTCTCATAAACAACGCATACATTCTCAGTAATATTTTAAACTCTAATTAACTTTATATCAAAATTTTAGTGTTTGTTAGTGACTGTAGTTAGTAATGACTAACTGCCCCACACCCCTTTTCCCCCCCTTGGCGACGCCCTTGAATCAGCATGTGGTGCCACCTACTTGATTAGACAGACCGATGAACTACATAATGGCGGCGAGAATTTCGGGTATTAGGGTATTAAGCCGGAAAAGGTAATAGGGTATTAAGCAAATAAATAAGGGTATAAGGGCAAATAATAAGGGTATTAAGCAAATAATTTTTTTTTTCTAAAAATCCTTTAAAAAAGTAGAAGTGCTATGGATAAATGTTTGTATAGAAAAATGTATTAGATNACCTCCCAATTTGTTAACTATAACTTAAAGTATGGGTTAACTACCGGTTTTGAGAAACCTAACCTATAAAGTTTTATCTAAATCCGTAAATTTTATCGAGTTGGGATTCAGAATTTAGTTTGTAGAAGTTGAGTGATTATGAAAAAAATGCATATAGCAGTAAAGAGAAATTAATAAGTAATGCCTAGAATACTTCGGAGACCTAATTATTTTGAAATTATGATTCACACGACTTTTTTGTGAGATTTAGATTAAAACCCAGAACAGTTGAAATGTTGTTGGAGGAACTTGAGGCAGCAATCAGTCATCCAACAGAAAGGTAAGTATCCAAATTACCTTATGTAATAACTACTTAATTGTTTTCTTTGTAGGAACCTCGCTATGTCTACAACAGTTGTTGCATGTTGACTTTACATTTTTTTGCAAACGTTTCCTATCGAGCCTTATTCGCGTTACGTCCGCAATATATTCAAATGCCAGAACAGGGAGAAATTGCTTATTATTCTTCAATACGTTTCCAAATTTTTTCCCTATCTTTCCATGTACGTACATCATTATTTTTACACTCTATAATATTTTTATGTTTTTACATTAAATATATCAATAAATTCTATTCGTCTTGTGTAAAGTTTACTGCTCTTTTATTATCCATTGCGTTTTTTTTGGTTTCTCTTTATCTCTTCTAAACGAAAATGTGAGGTTATTTGACTTCCACAGACCACTGATTATCTAAGAATAAGGGTCACGTGACGAGGTCTCAGCACTACCAATTGTAGAAAAACATACATACTTTCGGTTAACTTAACCCTGAATGTGAAATTTTTTATGAAATGATATGTCTGGGTTAACTTTAAGGTAATAGTTACCTTTACTTTTACTTTTACCGGATATTATGAAAATGGCCCTAAGGGTATTAAGCAAATAATTTTTTTTTTCTAAAAATCCTTTAAAAAAGTAGAAGTGCTATGGATAAATGTTTGTATAGAAAAATGTATTAGATTTGGTCAAAGATGACGTTCCTTCATTTTCGACACGTTATAGTGTTACACCCTGTATAATGTTAAAATTCATCAAGCCGTTCTATTTTTTGCAAAATTTGCATTAGTCTACTCACTCTTCATCTAGAAATAATATCTTGCAAGAACGTTTTCATATTTAATGAGTAACTTTAGCCCTATCTCGCATAGATTCTGATTTTTATTAAAAGAATTTATGAAGGCACGTAGAATTACTTTATAAATTTTAAATTTTTGCGGCTTTATTTTAATATCCAGTGCCTGGTATAAGATCGATGGTTTCGTGGGTAAATCTGGTCGGGAAGAGAATTTCTCTGCAAATTTTTCCGCCATGATTAAAAACTTACATAATTTCTAACCGAAATATCGACTTTCTATAAAAATTGTCAATTTTAGTTCTAAATATATCCACCATAAATTTGGAAATAAAAAAGCATATGATATATACCGGTTGTGGAAACGACACTACAAAACTGGATACCCGCCTCATTTAACATGCGTTTTCGAGTTGAATTCTTTGTATAATATGTTCACTAAAATGTTATATTGTTTTGAAAGTAAAAACTTTCGTGTGCTCAAGGGTTTTTTTACACAGATTCATGGTTTTCCTGCTCAATCCAATTATTTCATTTTGTGCGAACATAAATTTTAAATTGAATTAGTCCCCCGGGAAGTGAAATGTACAATTTATTTTTAGCACTCAGGATTCAGTTATTGCTTTTATTTGAAATTTATTTCCTACAACCAACACGTACGAAATATTAAGGGGTTTATTGTTTATTGATTTTTAATCTATGTAAGTATATGAAAATAAAATATAAAAGTAGACACGGAAGCCGAAACTAAATTCGGTAACGGTACTCGGCAAATTCCGCAGGTTACCGAATCTTCCCGATAACAGGTTAGGTAGCCTGTTTCTGGTAACAGTTATTTTTAAATAAACTATAAATTAAAAAATGTAATACAGTGTCCCGTTTTCATCTTCGTATGTATACATAGAATAAACTAGTTGAAAAAATAAATATTATTTTTAAAGGAATTATTGAAATGGTAAAGAAAATTGGCCATTTCATTGTCATTTTCGATTGTGATCGGTCAATTATGGTCACTGACTGCCGTCACCGTCACTAGTTTGCATGCGTGGTGTGAATATAATATGGTGTGTCTACGCGCATATGGTGACGTCACTTGAGAACAAGACTGACGAATCATGATGGCACATATTAGCTATTAGCACAACTTTCTGTCGTTTCTCTAATAACCAGAGCTGTTGTGGCTTAAACATCTTCACATAATTCATTTCATTATGCAAAACAGGTAATGGTTCTTAAAACTTGACTCAATATTTAAGGTTTCCTTCACGTTTAAGCTCTACATCAGGGGTCGGCAAGTAATTTTAGGTGGGGTCCGAATACTTTTGAAAATTTTTAACGAGATCCAGAAAAAAAATTCATATTTCTTATTTTTTTATTTGGACTCAAATTTAATCTGCTTACTGACCATTAAGAACTCAAAACACTCACACAATTGTAAAATACTAGAAAAAAATGATAAGATTGGCACTTAAACGTAAAAAACGTTTTTTAAATAATTTATTTGAGTAATTTATACTTTCAAAAAATTTTTGGCGGTCCAGTATTTTACCTTTCGCGGTCCGGACCTGGACCGCGGTCCGCCAGTTGCCGACCCTTGCTCTACATACTTAAACTGATTTTTTGAAATTATTCGTATCATCTGTAAACGCGGAAACTACATGTTTTACGACTTTTACGTCTTACGTATCATTAACTTAGATTGTCTTTATACCTATATAATATTGCGATAATCTGTAGGTCCTTGCTGACGTCATGTGCAGGCAGGATAAAACTAAACATAGCACGTTTCATTACATTATTATTAAAATAAGTGATAGATACAAGTGACACATTCCTTTCAATTTCCTGGATTTAGCTCACTGCATCTTTCATTGTTGCCACGTTTCTCACAAGATTCGTAGGTTAATCTTATAACTCGTGACGTCATATTTAGTTTAAAATTTGTGGATACCTAATATGTCATACATAAACATATATCTACTTCTACTTTAAATTTCATGTACCTAATCTAATAAGAAATTTTATGTAATAAATTAAAATATGCATATTCAATAAATGTTTAATAGGTATGTAAAATATTTAAAAAAACATGTTTTATTATTTATTTTAAAGGTATTCAAGTTTTTTTAAAACCTGTCAAATGAAGTCAAACAGAGTTCTTTTACCTTAAGATATTTAGCCTAATATCCAAAATTCGTAATTGATATTGCGGAAAACAATTTTGGTAAAATAATAATCTGTACCTATTAATACAGTTACTTTTTAATTAATCAATTACTTCATGTCGACGTTATATGCACTAATTAAATTTTATTAAAATATCACTTCTGTTATAAAACGAAACGTGGCAACATCTCAATCTCTAGGCGTCCCTTTTGTTTTTCTGTTTTTCTAAGAAAAAATTTACCGTTAAGTTGGTAACAATATTATCGGCAGTTTGTCTATGGACGCGTGTGTACGGACTACTGTGTGTGTATATGTGTGTATTAATTATTATAATGTAAAAAATAGTGGAAGTATATAACAAATATTAAAATAATAATTATAAAAACGAAAGTGTTTGTTCTGCAGTTTACCTGCGTGTGTGTAACTCTAGTGCATTATGACTTCTTGTTGTTTAGTGGGACATGATTCAACGATTCAACGTCTGAAAGGTACGTTCATTAAATATTTTTGCAACGCAAATTTTGCATATATCATTATTGTTTACCACATTCACTGATTTTAGGTTATAAATTACATGTAGGTATATATTATATTTTGGCTAATTCCTATTGTTCAGAGCAAATCAGAGCAAAGAAACAATTTATTTATTTATCTTAATTTTTCGGCAATTGAAATGACTTCTTCTGACGGACAAGCAGAAGTCGTTTTTATATAAAAACAGGCAGGTATAATGCC